TTTTTCAGAAATCTGTGGATATTTTTTCAATGCTTGTTCGGAGAAATATTTTGCAGTGTACTCCAATCTGTTATATCAGATCTTGACGTTACAAACGTTCATTCAAGAAACTGCTTCGATAAATAATTTGCATGCCACTCTGATAAAGAGGATTTATTTGGTAAACTTTAAATAAAATATCTAAATCTTTAAAAGTCATGATAAAATAAATATCGTGAGTAGAAAGTAAACAAGGAGACAGGACCTGCAGTTCAATATCCAAGTTCTTCTAGTATAAAATAAATACTGTAGTGATAAAAATTACTATGACGGGAAAAGACACTAAGTGTTTGAAAACAAAAAATGCAATGAAGGTTTGTTAACAATAAAGCAATGCTCAAATATATGAATATAAAATACAAATATCAGATAAAAGATTTCCCGCGAATATTGAAGCCGAAATATTGAGCCAAATATGACTCTAACAATCTGAAAATTAAGATCCTTCATTACTTGTGTAGATGACTCGAAGTCAAAGTATGCTAGTATGGGGTAAAATTTTTGGTACTCCCGAAGTATGTGAACCAAGATGGCGGACACCGGAACGTAACACGTGTACCAGGTTAGACTATAATTTCAGATACAAATACTACGGGAGTCACTTGACTAATCTCCAAAGTCATTATAGAACTTGGAATAAAATGATAGCCTAATAGTAATCTGGTACACACACTACGTTCCGGTGTCCGTCATCTTGGTTCACATACTTCGGGAGTGCCGAATTTTTTCATCCCAGGGAAAAGGAGGTCCAACATTGAAGTTTTTAATCAACTTCATGCGCAATAGCATATCTTACTTATCTAATCTTTTTCAATTTTTTATCTTACGCCGATATCTTTGAGTCTCACATTTAAATTATTCAATAAAGTGAATTTAGATGACTCACTCAATGTGACTCGAGTCTTGCCAGGCGCATATGCGGAAACTAACCCGACTGCTTAATATTATCGATGAGAAAATTTTCTGTTGCTACGTTTCCAATTGTTATTCTTCGGCGATAGTGAGTGATTGCCACAAAGTAAACATATTGGACACGAATTATAAATGTCGCCGACCCCTGATTTGAACATTAGGTATAACTTTCCCTGGGTTATGCATATCTATCTAACCAATTCTTTCAAACACACGAGATTGTTAGTAATGAGTAACAATCGAAAAATTTTGTTTCCTGTTTATGTTATTATAACAGGAATGTCACGTTAGACCTTTTCAGCGACATCCATTGTGTTATTGTTATGTCTCAATAGTTGTTATTGAGAGAAACCTGTGATATCTTGACCGAAAGTGTCGTTTACAAAGTAAAATGCAGGTCAGCAGGAATTTGTGTTTCAACATTCCTTGCAAACAAGTATCTGTACGCTTTTATATTTCGTTGAAGCATTCACTCATATTCGAGAAACAACTATTTTTCTATGTTCTCAGTAATTTATGTGTCTGGAGGATCTATTGCAATAAAAAAATTGCACACAACTACATATCTTTCCAGGATTCGAGAAACTATTCGAAAAAAGTATTCGATTCGATACTTGAATCATCAGGTATTCGGAAATGCTCAGTCCTACCGGCGAATTCTGCCTTTCAAGTTAAAAATTAAATCTGCATTTTATGCGAATATGTGGCGTGAAAAATTGCACTACCTAATTCTAATAATATTAACTTTATAACATCAAAATTATATTACCCGAATTTTATAATGATTGAAAAACCCAACGGAAAAGGTGTAATTTATTTTAGTAATGAAATGAAACGAACTTTTTATCGCAAACGGGGTTGTGGAGCCGTGGCTTAGTATGTGAACCCGGAGTTGGAGTCAAAGTTCTTCAACTCGGAGTAAGAAATCGGTTATAATGTTTCCCGAACTCGAAGCCTTGGCCGCAATTGCAGCTTTAATTAGTCGATCTATGCGAGAATCTTGTTTGCCCCTGTTGCGACATCTCCCGTTCGTTCTAATGTGACAACCCTGTCCGTAATCAACCCACACGATGTAAAAAATTTCAAAATATCATATCTCTATGAATACGCATTGAATTCATCCAATCAGCCAAAACTCAATTAATGCGATTGATGGAAGCGCCAGAGTATCAGATGGATCCGACCGAACCTTTATTCAAATGGTTTCCAACCTTTTCAATTTGTTCCTTCCTTCGCCTATTTTGGATATCTTGATTCCTTCCTCAATATGAATAAAATGTCTGCTTTCGTTATTTGTTCAATTTTTAATGAATCACTGGTTACGCGTAACTCGTCCCCTATTTGAATAGTTTATAATGTGTACCCAAATATTATTACATCAACACTAAACAAGAGAGCGATTCTTAAATATGTGGTCGAAAGCCCAAAACTATGTAGTGTGGGTATGGAAATTGTCACAGTAGACTACTGCAGTCTTCACGACCAAGCATTCACCACGACTTTGCCTGACCACGAGATATCAATTCACGCGAAAGCGGAGCCGCCACAAGGAGCGCAATTTTTAAGTTTGATGACGTCATCGCGCACAAAACGAATCCCATATTGACCACAGATATTTTTGGAATAAATCGGATTTAGCAAAAAATACAATTGTAACCTCTGATAAATTGGTCCAGTAGTTATAGAGAAAAGCGATTTTTTTTCATAACAATAAAAAAGGGAAAAATACCAAATTGAACATGAACAACAACATTATAATGAAACAATCCACACGTCCACTCCGTGTCCAATAACTACACCGAATACAAAGTAATGTTTCTGTCTTCCCTTCAAAGAAAGGATATACGCCCCGGTTGAGAAACGCTTTTCCATTCTATTTGAAATTTGCTGTGACTAGCGACTAGGTTTAGAGACTTTTATCCAATTTTGAGAATCCTTGCGTACCTATACCAGGCTATTCTATTAGAATATTGAAAAATGATAAGACGATTCTAGACATGCTAGTTTGATGTTAATTACCGTATATTTTTCATCAATAGGTGAATTTTTGCTCTTTAGTGGCATCTAGGGAAAAGCAAGTGAATCAAGCACAGAAATCGAACTTTTAAACCAGTTCATTCCATTGTTTATCCATTGGCAATCGACGGTAACAACAGAATTTTTTTACTCTAACCAAACTCTATAGGTAGCGTTGTGCCTGATTTAAAACCACACACATTTTTAACGTAACGTGAATTTTCTTATGAATGCGAGAAGTCTAGAAAAGCCCTCAAAAATGTGCATTTCATGAAATTTTAACTTTTCTTTTTTGAAGCGAATCGGCCTGGCTAATATAATAATACCTTGTAAGGATAAGCCTGTGAGATACTATTGATTTTGGTCACATGATTATGAAGACTTGTCGCTTTAGTGTTCGGAAATTTCTTACTGCATAGTAAAGCTCTGCGCTCGTATGGTTAATATGAATATGCTTAGTCGCGCTTCAATGTACATGTTTTAACATTTTATTCTGCCTCGTAGCGGGCAAGGTTAATAAATGTATTCATCGTTCGATTACGAAAATATTAAACCAGTCTACATTTGAATGATATCACGCGGAGATGCAATTATGTCTCTACAAGTACAACTATGATTAGATAAAAACGTGGACAAAACGTGTAGGGGAAGGCGTTTTAGAATTCCAGCCAATGTTCCTTTTCGAATGCAACAATTCTGGGTACTCCCGTAATGTGTGTACAAGGATAAGGTTCGGCCATAATTTTATTCCGATTTTTCTTTATTTTAGTCAGTTCGGGGACTGTGTTGGCCAAGTTAATATTCCCCTAACCATGGGTTTCAGTCCCTTCACACAACTTGATGTAAAGTAGGCGAACAAAATTAGTTACCTCCATAATGGTACACACACTTCTGGAGCGCCCGATTCTGTGTATCACTGCAAAGGTGTAATAGACAACCGATGTTGATAAAACAAATTCTTACTCACATTTCACTTAATTTTCCCGAATGAATTGGCAAGTTGCTGTAAGTAGTGATCCGTATTGCTGGCAATCATAAATATCATTAACCAGGCACCTTACTTTCAAACCAGCATCGACTCATAGCGTATATGCAAGTATCCACATTCACACAGCACTAAGTTAGCGTGTTGCTCCTAGAACAGCGAAATGTAGACTGGAAGCATTAGTAGGGTATTTTGCGCCACAATGAAAACGGGGAAAGTAGCTCAAGCACGTAAAATATTCAAATCTTCGGTCGAGATAAGACAAATTAATACATAACTGCAATTCCATTTGCTTCGGTGCAGTCATCGGCTAAAATCACACGGACTATACCGTACTCTGTGGATACAATAACACGTCATTTCCCTAATACTTCAATCATCCTATAAAGTATATATAGACTTTACTTCCTCTGTACAGATCACATCACTAGTACTGCCTCATATCTTACTAATGAGATCTTTGTCTATTTAAAATTGAGGTCAGCAAGTCGAATACACCGACTGTCCCAGTCCACTGCACGCTTCACTACATTCTAATTGCTAATTGTTGCGTCTGGGTAGTATTACCTGTTACACAACAATGTAAATAATCTGATTGACGTTCTGTTTTGTTTAGTTGTGGGGATCAGATTTTCATTGGCAAGTGGCGTTTAGTTTATCGCATTGGGCAGTTGTAGCCTTTTTTGTCCAGTGCGTTGTTGCTTTCAACATTTACAAACAGGCCGAATTCACTTTCGGTTGTGAACCCAGATAAAGTGTGACAAAATTTATGTGGGCGGGTTCCCGCTGCAATTCAAAATCAACTTACAACACATTCTACTTTCTGTTTCTACAGTCAAGTCGAGCAAGTAAATGTGTAAGTTATACGTGTGTTTGCAAGTTTTTTTTTATGATCCAATCCGAATCTGGCCAGTACTTTTGTGCAGGTCAAACTTTGATCCCAGTGGAGAACCCCTGTTCTCAAGTGTGGTAAAACTCATGTGGCAAGTTACGCTTCTCAACTGAAATTGCACCACAATTCATATTTCTGTTCATACAGTAAGTCACGTCGAGTAAAGGTTTAGGTTATATTTACACGAAACTGAATATGGACAATATTTAGGAACAAAATATGTCAACAATAAATTAAAAATGAAATAAAGAGTAAAATGCAGGTTTATTTGGCAACAATATTCCAATCTCAAACATCGAATAGTTAAGGAATTTAATAAGTATTTAAGGATACGTGAAGATGTAAAAGTACTGAATCTGTTTACATACATTACAAGTCTTCGATTACAATGCATTTTACAGTTATTCTAGAATTTATACTTCATTACTAATATTATTTTTTAGTTCATATATTTTTTGAATTATTCAAGTACACTCGAAGCGAGATACATTGTCCCTCGAATATTGGTGAAAACATGTTGAAAACGCGTTTCCGTAGCATCTAAAATGGCTTGTTATAAGTCCTTGATCGAAGTTTTTCCATCATTTGTATTTGAACTTTATGCTAATATTCCTTCTATTAGTCAAGTAGACAAGTATAAAAAAGGACAGGCTCCTCCGGGATAATAATGGAAAGAGCGCTAATAGAAGAGTTCCGATACTTTAAGCATATTGCTGTATATCGTTTTTTTTTTTTCAGATTATAATTAACGTCCTTGGGTCATAGAACAAATCTAAATACAACGTTGTTGTGCTGAGAGAGAGTTCAAAGATATTTAGAGAAATATTGTATGAATAAGCGGACGAGTATTCTCAATATGAAAAAAAATTGAGCAACGTAATGGGTTTGAATAGTTGCTGCTAACATAACAAAATTAAATATAAAAAGCAAAGAAAAATAAAGCAAAAAGCAAAAAACTATAAAGCTGTTGAAAAGCACGATATGTACAAAGAGGCGAAGAAAATGCAAAAATAAATATCTCGATGTGTGGTTTAATTTTAAATCAGCTCTTTATTTGTTATACCGGTAGTTCACATATAGAAATTTGGGTTCTACAACAGCCTAAGATCTACCACAATATAGCGGGTTACTATGGGGTGGGGCAAAATCTACTTCATGCTAATACTATGGCGTCAGGTCTACCGCTGCATTCGCCATCCCAAGTGGATACCACTTCTTACTATATATTTAATTAAGACATAAACACTGTACATTTTCTAAGAATGATCTATATAGATATTTGAACATTCTATTCCCGGGGCGCAGTAGATCGTGCGTGGCGGGCACTCTGGCTGATGGGAGACATATGGTAGTAGACCTCACGCTATAGCATTATCGAAATCAGTTCAGGACTTTCTTTTGCGTTGTGAACTTTGCTGGTTTGTTCAACTTGAATGTTGTTTGTCGATGGTTGATGTTGCAACGTTTTCAGTCCTGACCCGGCGTCATCAACGTTAAACAGTGTTTATTAAAGTTACATTTCTTCTGCTTTTCAACCGCTCCTGTAAAAGATAATCAAAGGAATGATGTTAATGAAGTCAAATTTACGCCATTAATTCATGTTTTGCGAGGGTTCGAGTTCGACATGCTTGTATTGATAGTCGAAGTAGCAGACGATGATTTTAAGACTTCAAAAAGATTTGTTTTTCTGATAAGGTCGATTCATCGACAGCGAAAATGTGAAAACCGCATAGAATATTCAAATGAGTCGATCAACAATGTAAGACTGTTTTTCATGCGCGAGGTTATAAAAAGCAGTGCTATGCGGGGAAGTTCGGCGTCTTTTTATTGATGTTGGAGCCTAAATCACAGTTCGGTTATTAAAACTATTTGACCATGAATCAGATTTTTGATTTTCTGAAGGCAGAATTGGCGAAAAGCGAAATCAAAATTTACAACAGAAACTTAAAATCATTTATTTAACTAGCATTCTCATTGGCAATTAAAAAAAAAGGTTGCACATGCCAAAGTTTTTGTAAACGAAATTTTGTTTTCTCGGAGCCAGAGTCGGGGTTAAAAAAAATTTCATCACAAATTGAACCCGTTGTCGGCGGTAAAATATGTCTAACAAATAATAGAAGCAATTCCAAAAATGGTATCTTCTTACGTATAAGTGGCTCTTTCTTTGCAATTAAAGGCGTGGAGAGTGTCGAACAAAAAATTATTAGTAGAATGAATTACTAACTAGAGAAATTTAGTAGGCACGTACTCACAATAGTTTAATGCTTCTTGCCGACGTCATTTTTGCACAGAGAATAATTCTTGTCCAGATGCAGCCGATTGCACAGAATCCAACTAGAGGAAAAATAAATATGTTAATTAGATCAAGTGTGGAATGAAAGGTTTCAAGAACTGTTTGAATTTTGCTTTGAGTCTTTAGCGTGAGATCTGCCCCAACTTAACACCACAGCTCGCATCGTCCATTCATGAGGAATATGACTTGTTTCTATACATTTAATTTGGCAATAAACATTCGAATTGTACGTATTCAATGGACCTCACACTGCACCAAGGCAGGCACCATATGGTGGTAGATCTCACGCCCCGATGGCAGTAAAAGCATTAAAGCAGTCCAGACAGTAAAAGTTAAAAACTAGACCATCTAGTTTTATTACTGATGGAAATTTTCATAAATTTCAGTATTTATGAAGAACAACATGCATTTGTTAGTGTGTTAGTAATGAGTGCAGAGAAGTGAGCATCACCCAAAGAACGATATCGTTGAGCAGACGTCTAGAAACCTCGAGTCGCGAGTTAAGCGATCGCGATCATGGATCATTTGGATCTCTCTATTTGATGACGAGTCATTTTATCTAGATGACTCAAATTACTTCAAGTTCTTGACAAATTTTGATCAAAGTCCAACTCGAGTCGAATCAGTGACTCCAGCCCTCCGTCCCAACGCTGACTAAAAGGGGCGAATGAAAGATTTTAATTCAAATCGAAGTCACCTTCTGATGTATTGGACTTAGTACAATCTACTTCGACTACAACTTGTGTTCACGCTATTGCGCTAATGTAGCCAATGCCTATTGGCTGTTTGCCTCAATTTATATTTTGCGGTTTTTGGTGCGAATACAAAAATTGTTGAATTTCATATTTCATTCCTCTTCAAGCATATAAGCGGTTTTTGCATTGTTTTGACATAAATGTACTATCTTGACGTCATTATCTCGACGTATTCATTGTTCCTTTCAAATGAATTCTTCACTGTTGATTTGATTTCAGGTTTTGCTATTGCTTGTACACATCACCATTGGCAATTTTGCAAAAGTATAAGAAAAGTTTGTTCAGCAGTTTTCTGCATTGTTTTTAAAGCGAGACACATGCAGCTTACTAGAGAACTTTTGAGCATCTTTATATAACTATAAGATTTTTTATACGATTTTTAGCATGTGATTCCAGCATAGTTAATTCCAATGCTTTATCCACTAAGTCGTTGCATTTATAAATGTAGCAAGATCGCTGGTAACACAAACTGCTATTCCCTTTGCCTTACTCCATTTTGCAGACATTTTGTTCAATTAGAAATTTCTTTTTCGTTATGTTGGGGTTTTGTTCTGAGTATGCGATCAGCCACCAAAAGCATTTCACCTCGTGTTTTCTCACCTTTACCCTGGCAAACTAAACAGGGCAATCGACTGTTTTGCGATCATGTCCTTGCACATTGTAAAGCGCACAAATATACAGGCTCTCCAGCAGTTTCTACGGTCTGAATGGCAAAGAAAACTGCTGGTTGAAGAAGTTTGAAAATGCGACTAATTTAGGGTCACCATATTTGAAAAAGCAAAATTCCGGACAGTGCATGAACATTTTCATGGCCTCGTAGTAAAAAATATGTGCACGGTACGAAATAACAATGTTCTGTATTAGCAGTGTGCACAGTACGATTGCAGATGCAAATTCCGGATTCCGGACATTTGAGCATTTTTTAAATTCTTCCCGGACGCAAAATTTAATCCTAAATTCCGGACATGTCCGGAATTTTCCGGACGGTATGGCAACCCTAGACTAATTCACCAGAATATAAAGGCTTCAGATTTGCTCAGATTACATTTGATCAATTAGAAGAAAATGGTGTTTAAGAGGTCAAAAGTCATAACTTTGTTCATATCGTGTATAACAGATTAAAATAAAACAAATAATTGATTTTATGACCAAAATTAAAATTGGGACAATACTTTATGACACCCTGTATATTTTGAAAAATGATATCTTAAAAAAAAATAAAAATATTCATTTATATAAAAATCGGAATGCAATAAATTTCCGCATTCTTTTCGAAGTTTAGAAGAAATAATTTTAAGAACAGAAATTATATACTGATATATTAACTTACCTGATAAATTACTTAAACTTCTACCCTAACGGTACTAATCATATGAAATCATATACGCGAAATTTAATATCTTAGATGCCGAAGTATAAAGTATATATAGTATTACTCAGAACCGATTTAATCAGGTTGCGACATCCCTATGACCTTGGCCGGGAGCAATGATATGGCACATATAATCGAACAGTGGTTTCCAACCTTTATAGCGCAATGGAACCCCAATGAAACACCCAAGAGGGTCGGGAAACAGCAAAATATCAAACCTAATTTAAATTTTTTTGAAGAATATCAATATTGACACTCGGGTTTGTATGGAAAATTGGGTACTCTTGTAGTGCGTGTAACAATGTAGGGTTAGGACATAATTTTAGTCCGATTTTTCCTTATTTTAGTTTTATTACGAGTTCGGGGACTGTCTGTGCTAGCCAAGTGAATATACCTTCTGCCCATAGGTTCCATATCCTTTTAACCAACATGATGTAAAGTAGACGAACAAAATTAGTTACCTCCATATTGTTACACACACTTCTGGAGCGCACATTGGTTATCTGCGCTGCAATGGCAGAACCCTTGTTAAAAACCACTGTTATTGACTATGACACAAAACTTATTGAAATACTTTCCGACGCATCATACAATTATATTGATGTGTCGTTGTTTTCATAAACGTTAGAATTTATGAACCTTAGTGTATTCATGCGTTATGACACCCGTAATTTTTAAAACTCGCATAAAAATTACTTTATTCGACCGATATTTTACCCTGATAATGTTGCTCTGACTATGCCAATGTGTTTTTTACGATGCTCATTCACGCTGTTCGCTCCGAGTACGGCTCCGCACAAGCAAAGACTGATAATGTAAGTAGCCATGATATTAAGAACTAGATTCTTACCGGTTCGTCATTGTCCACCCTATTAATTACACCTTGGGTGAGATAACAGGCATAGAATGGAAATACTTTTTGAAATATCCAAATAGACCGAATTCCCTATTTAATGCGAACAATTTCTCGATGCCTCGTCAAACGGCTTCTTTTTGGACAGTAATGGAATACTTCGATGCGATTGTGAGACGAATGCATTGAACGGCACTTCATATAATATTGATAAATTTGATTGAATTTATCCGCCATGTTTGTTTCCATTTAAACGATACTTTCAGATTTATCAATTCAATTCCAATACATTTCCGTGAATTTGGCCAATGTGACAGGGAACATGACAACTATAGTTTTGTTTTCATTCCCGAAAACTATTTTCGATTTCGCTTCCTCTACCATATCACGTCTTAATGACATGCAGACAACAATGGCAAGAAATGGGCAAGGAAGTCAGGTATTTCCCAGATTTATGTTATAAGGGAAATTTGCTCAAGGCAGGGTCATGCGCAATCACTCAAAAATTAAGTAGACTAATTTCTGAGCAAAGTTATGACCGATGAATTGCCAAAATCTACTGATACTATGAATCTTTACAGCGTAGAATCGCGCGTTGGTTAGTGAATCCCGCCCTATTGACCGGAAAACCTTTATGAGATAGTGAATACCACATAAATGGAGTTATTGGCGAAAACTTTGTTCATGAATTCTCTTAATTGACTGTAATCAGTCAACCGAGTTTGAGATGTGAAAATTGCGCGGCTATTTCAAACGTTTTTAGGCGAAATACTTAATCCCGATTGAAATATGGGGCATTTAAAAATGGGTTTTTGTTACAGCTATGATGTAGTGATCTCCATATTATCGGCGTTCTTGTAAAAAATTGGACTCTTTCAATTAACTGTAAACGTGTGAATGGTCACAGCCAACCGAGATTAAGATATGAAAATTGCGCGACTATTTTAAACGATTTTAGGCAAATAACTAATCCCGATAGAAATATGGGGAACTTAATGTGTTTCCGTTATGTCGTTTTATGCATGCATGAGGGGTCAGAGCAACAGGTAAATATCACAGTATTCACCGAGATGTTTTTCGTTCTCACCTAACCACTTAGCAGGTCGATGTAATGACTCGATCGTAGATTGGTGCATATCACTATATGTACAAACGCACACGCCTTCCAGCAGTTTTTGCGGTCTGTATGTGTTTATATGGTTCATATAAAGAAACTGCTGGTTATAGTTGCACTAAGAGTGCGAAGCTTAATTCTTTACAAACACCGAGAATTCACATTTACACTAATAAATTTCCCAGATAATGCGATCAGACTCGAATATGCGCAAATGGTAAGAAGAAAACGATATAAGTTTTGAAAGCCTGGTTTGAAAACCATTTCTCCTTGCCCCTGGAATATTCAATAAGCTAGCAACACTTATATTGTTCGTCTTTTACCATTTGTGCATTTCCAAACTATTTTCTAGGTAAAACTGGCCTTCGTTCAAGATTATAAGAAAATGGAAATCCAAAATTGTAATGACTAATTATTGTCGTTATGCCTTTGGGAACTATTTTTAATCATAACTAGTGCTATTTTAAAAAGAAGTTTGGAAGTGCTTTCAGACATTTTATAGTTGTTTTAGACTTTAAATAACAGCATATCATTTAAAATCAGCATGTTTGCTTATTCTTTAACAAAACACACCACGCATGCATTACTTACAAGTTTTGCATTTTCTCTTCGAAAAACAATATTTCTTTGCATCGTTCTGTGTGCGCAGACATTTGCAATATTTGTTTTTGATTTGACATCGAATCAGCTTCGGTTTCGGCTTTGCTGGTTGGTTTTTTATTCTCTTATCAACAATGTCTTCTTCTTCATCCTAAATTATTTAGAACGTGATAATCTCGAAGAATTCATAGCAAGAGTATTATAATCATTGTGGGCGCGAAGTACTCCCGTAGTATGTGAACCAATATGGCCTCACCCTAACCTGGTACACATACTACGTTCCGGTGTCCGCCATCTTGGACCACGAGCAGAGGTCTCCACTATAGACCATTCGCAATTAATTTGAAGTGAATTGAGTTTAACTTGGTCAATTATTCGTCTGGAATACATTTATTCTCATACTTTAGTTTGTTGGCTTTAGATTATTAGGCGTGGCGCACTGATGAAAATTCGAGGTATTTTATAGAACATCTGGGGCCACAAGCGTTGAGGAAGACAGACCATTGAAGATTTATTAGCAATTGCAGTGGTATGAGCGTTGGAACTAAATGTGTTTGCATCGCAGGTAAAATCTTGTCCAAATCCTATGCTCGCCACCTCACATTGGCAATACAAATTCGTATAGATTCCGGTTTTTCTGAATTTCCTCATATAATTGGCTTTTGCCCAAAGCATTGTTTTACGTTTACCCGATTCTACCAACCTCAGATTCTTCTTCTGTCGAAGGTTTTGGCTTTTCTTGAGAGTTTTTAGTTCGATTCTCGCTCTCGCCTTCCTCCTCGTCGTCTATCGTTGCTGACTTCAGTATTGGTGCCTGCCACGGGAATGCTGGTCCCTTTATATGAATTACATATAAGATTCCATTAGTCGATGCAAAGCGTGGGTTGTTAAAGGTTTAAGGTGATATAGCACAAGCAATTACAGCCCAAAATAATTTAATTAATTTAAATATTGTATTGTATTTGGAAATTTGCAAATGGGATAAATACCAGATTCTAACTACATGAATACAAAGACATATAACGGTTCACACTGCGCAATGCGAATCATACTCAAAAAACTTTTTACCCCTATAAAAAAAACTTTGCTTAGAAATTTAATTGACGTGCGGACAGAATGAGTGGCTGCTGCCAAAGTTTTAGTTTCACGATTACGCACACAAAATAGGGTCTCAGGTGTGTTTATATATACGTTCATCCGTGCGACAGGTATGTCAATAAATATCCACTAGTGGACTTGACACAATTCTTACGACACTGTTAGAGAAACATTTTGTTTTATATTCAGTTCATGTTATATCCGGAAAAAGTTAATTGAAATTGAATTCCAGAGAATTTTGTGCAAAATACTTCGCCTAGCAACCGAATAGAAAAGGTTTACGAACATATTTTCCACCATAAACACCACAAACCTCTTTTGAAATTTCTTCTTCGATCATTTCTTCAAGGATTGGACATGACTGGGAGCAAACTTTTTCTGGCAACCCTCGAGGTGAGAGAGCACAATGACGTTGAGTCTGGAAAAAAAAGATCATGATCAATTTTGAGTTTTCTACTCCGATTATTTGAGGGTTTTGTGTTATTAGTTGGGCTTCTGCGGTACTAATTCTACGTATCCTTTTATGGTATCGTTCTAGTGGATCCGTATGTGTATAATGTTAGGATACTGTAGCAAGATTAAAATTGATTATTTTGGGTGAGTCAAGAGTTTGCTTGGCGCGCGCGAATATATACTGTAACGCTTCGTATGACCAAGGTCAAATCTCCTGACAATTTTAAAATTCAACTATGTCTAATGAAGTCGGTCATTCCACGTTTACATGTAATCATGATATGTTTCTCTATATAAGTGACTGTTTCTGCCTCGTTTGTAGAAAATTCGTGAAACACATCATCAAAATTGTTATTGGGTTCAATAGTTCAAACAACTTTCCTTAAAACGAGTTTCGCACGTTTTAATGCCAGAGGCGTAATACATAAAAAATAAATTAAAATGCGGCGATGAATCATCATTCTGGTCTTGACATAAGCTGTATTTTAAATGTAATATGAAATAAATATGGTGGCGATGGTAGTTCTGGTTGTTGAACACGTTGCCAGCTTAAAACGCTTTCAGAATGACGATAAAATAAGACAAAATTTTATACAACAAAGTTTAGTATACATTCATCACAGTCTATTAAAGAAAGTTCGCATAAACCGTTTTTAAACAGTTTTTGTTAAAAAAATTTCATCCGGATTTTGGAACTGGATCGAAATTGTTTACAATTTGAAGTTGCATTCGGAGTCAATTATTTAAATTCCGGAATTCGTGCCAGCATTGCAATTGTTTGCAATCAGGAGTTGCACTCGGAAACAAATTTTTTAAAAATCCGGATTTCGGAGCCGAAGTCAAATTTTTTTTTAATTTGGAGTCGTTTTTTTTCGTTTGAATCCGTAGTAGGAGTCTACAGTCCATGTATTGCATAATGTCAACTTTCATCGTGTATTCATGAAACATCTGGTTTTTGCATTAAAAGATATTTGAATAATCTCTGCAGACTTTATTAATAACTTGACATTTTCCAATTCTGCTTCATTTATTTTGATATTTATGTGAGTTTGAAATAATGACTCATTCATCGGATTGATTTAAACAACATCGCATGTTGAAGATCGAGATTCTTAAGCAGATTAGCTTGGATTTAATAATAATCAACTTCATGGATATTTTCAGCCACGTAAGGACCTTAAGTAATAGCTTGGTATATAGCGATCGCACCGCATACATAGAATAGTGAAATCAGGTTAAATCTAAACAGACATAGCAGCAATGCATGGCAACTTATATAGATTGAATAATCGTATACGAAATGGATCTCCAGATGCTAAATTGTTGTTCTTGTCGGTATTTGGAAGATCGCCCTTCTCTTCAGCAAATAACTCAATCCGATTTTTGTACAATAACGTTGACTTAGTGATCTAAAAGGCTAATTTTTATTATTTTCCGAGTCCTACGGAGCCCGTTATTTCACCTCAAATTTTCCTTTTCACTGTTTTGCTGGCATTGCAGTACTCATTTGACCTTCGTGGGTGTATTTGAGCATTGCCATCTTGTTTAATCTCGGGATCGGATTTTCACAACAAGATGTGGTCAAGGCAAAAACCAGCAATGCGCATAGTTTGATACGAGATACCGCGATACGTTTTGTTTAATAAACTTGTTGTAAATTACAACATGGCTGCCGTTGAATAAATCAAATACCATGTACAATTTGCTGCGTGACGCCATTGCGCGGCCTGTGCAACGCACGTACACAACAAAAAGTAGCAGAGATGCGGTAAAAATACTTTGCTACAGTGCCGTTGATTTTCATTGGTTGGAATTACCGAGAATAGAAACACCTTCAATCTTGCGTTATACATACTTTGATTAGATTTGTCACACTTCAGCCGTTTATGCGATTTGATTTGTATTTTCAACGGATGTAATTGTTTGAATAACTGCAATAAACAAAAATGCTACTCCGACCTTTAACCTCAGATGTCTACTTTAGTGTGATTGTGCAATTTTTTACTTGGCTCCACTTTGAATGCGTTTCTATGCATGCGGTCACATACACGTCAGAAGCTTCTATTTTTGGAAGGACAGTTAGGTGGTCCGGCATTGTGCCCGGTGTATTACACTCTAAAACTGGGATTTGAATTCGGAATTTCTAACCCCCTATGCTAACATAGATAACTTCAATCTTCTAACTAACCATTTTTAGGTTGTGAACTGGTTGATCTTTTCAAAACACCATTTGGCTGTAGTAAAGGATCTGATAAATTATTAATAATGATGCGTCACTGTTGGATAATTGCTGATTTGCTATTACTGCGGAAGGAAACGAGGAAGTTTTCTGAAAATTTTCGTGATTTGTTCTGCGTGTTATTTTTGTATCACGGTGGAGTTTAACTAAATTATTCATTCATTTGAGTGACAAATAAATTAGCCGATAAATAGTGATGACCGCAGCATTAAATACATTCCTTTGATATTAAAATCCGTGTAGGTTAGCGATGGTCGGCTGATAAGAAATGTCACCTGCATGTTGTTGTACGTGTGCAAATATGATTATTTTTGAGAACAGACGATCGGTTGTTGAGAGAATATTTCTTGTTTTACATGTCATGTACAGATGATACTGGGATTGCGTTACCGGCACCATGAACATATCGAGCGTATTGATTACCTGATCTCATTAATCGGTCAGCGGCGTTTTTTAAACTGTCACAATTTGTAGGAAGACCAGAGAAAATATAAGAACGCATTACGAAGTGATTGGTCTCGTATTGAAATTGAAAAACGATTTTTTCGTTAACAACAACAACATGGACATTAATTTAGCAATTTATTCATATTGTACCAATTTTTATTAAGGAAATTTGCTGAATGCAAGTTCGCGCGCACTCACTCAGAGGTAAAGGAAACTCGTCAACAGTAAAGTTTGGCAAGCATTGGAATACCAAGCGCTTATGAAACTATATAAAATTATAGGCACCCACCCAGAAGTAAAGGAGACTCACCTCTGAGCAAAGTTAATGTCAACCACTCAGAAATAAAACAGACTCTTCTATGAGCAAAGTTATGGGCACTCACTCAGAAGTGAAGAAAACTCATCTCTGAGCAAAGTTACGTGCGACGCGTTAGTAAATACCGATTGAATAAAATAAAAATAGTTTGATTGGCTGCACGCTCACAGGCTTCCAAGTTCTCACGAAGCCTACACCTCAAAACATCCGTGGAATGCAATAATCCAGACACAGCTGACGCCTAGTTTTAAACGTAACTTTCGTATTGTTTTATTGCTCTCACTACAACGAGTCGTGTCGCGAAATTTAGTAAACAAATGAGCTTTACCGTTAAATCTTTCAATATCAACATAAAAGTAAAATTACAACATGTTGCCGAATTATTTTAGTATTTGATTGTTTGGTTTTGACAATTTGAGTTCTTGAATAATATTTTGATAAAACTTTCAATATCATCACAAAACACGAGATATAATGAAAAAATGTTTTTATGTGTGCGTGTTTAATTTTAGCTAATTTTTCGATGATTTCATGATCTCAAATACTTGGCAGATATGTAATTGTAGGTGTAGGTGACACATGACTTATTGAAAACATAGAATCCATCACTCAGACAGTTCAAACGAAATAAGAAAAGAACCTGGGATAAAAAGAGTCAGAACTGAATCTAAATATGGCTTCAATAAAAATAATTCAGGGGTTCACCTCGACCTCTTGCGGACAAAAAAAGCAAAATGGCGGCGATTCGAACTTCTCGTCTAAACCGATTCGAATAATTTATCATTCAATTTAAATATTCGATTCAAAATGCACAGTCCTACTCGTGACTCGTGCGTGATTTGACTAGCAACTCTAAACAACACTATTTAGTAAAGCGAAATAGTTACAAGCTTCACTATATTTACGGTAGAACCCTTACAAATGGGTGAAAATAATTTCAGTGAAACATTTGAACTCACTTCAATGCAGTTGACGTCTTTCGTGTTCACGGCTGTAAAAAAAAAGAAAATGTAAATTTATATGAGGTATAGAAATAGATGATGTGTTGTCTCAGTGCGGAGAGAAATGTCTCCAAGGGAAGGAATTTTACTGAAATACCTATTGATGCAAGCAATATGAACTATGCAAACTAAAAGACGCCTAAGATGAGAATCGTTGAAGAGATTGAACAATTAACAGAAATAGAGATTTTTGCGCGCTGAGGGCAATGAAGAGTTTCTAAATACACAAAGGGAAGAAACTATCGGAAAGGTTTACCTGCTGGACTGCGTTATTTAGTCGCATTTTTGATTGAAATTGTTTTTATCATATCTGGTTTACTCTACTGCATGTCGAATAACACATGACATGAGGTGGGAAGTCGAATATAATAAAATGATACTGAAGCGAAACTAACAATTCAGGTTATAACCTGACTCTGGTAAAATTTCAGAATTTGTTTAGCAGTGGAAATCTGTGCCAAGCAGTGCAAGAAGATTATCATTTGAAACCAAAAAAAGAAAACTATGTTTAACCCGCTGATAACTAAACAAAACACGAGTCATATTAGGAAAGTCTTTGAACTGGATTAGAATGAAATAAAGCAGGATAATCGGTTTGGCAATGATGTTTAAGCTTATTATTTGGTTTGTGATGAGTTGCTAATAATAATAGTTTTAATTCCCATTTAACGCCCATATGTTTGTAAAAGTCGAGCGCAATGGATCATGATATGCGCCGCCCTGTATATAAAAACTCTCAACATTAGTGGCACTTGTGGTGGGAGTCATAATCGTACAGGCAATGGTCAATCCAAATCATAGTCGTTTCTTTTTTGGAAGTGACTGTTTGCAAAGATTTATTTTCAGAGTAACACAGAATAGGCCGAAAAAAAATCTTTATAAAAATTTAGCGGTAGTGCCATGCATTGGTCTCTGCGTGCCTATATACTTGTTCGGTTATAATACGCGCTTTGTAAATTTTTATAAACGCTAAACATATTTTGTCGAGTTAGTGTCGCATACTTTACCGAGGGAACAAGTTGTTTTTCTCGCTTTAACGACCTCGGGGCAGATCATGGTTAGTGAGGATTTAAAATAAATTTATAGATAAATCCGTAGATTGATAAATAATCACATTCCGAAAACCATATTTACGGCTTCATTGACGATGATTTGGGCGGTTTTGTGTCGCGCTAAGAAAAACACGATCTCTATAATTTATTTGCTAAACACGGCTGGGTTCAAGCTTGCAAATAAGTTGAAAAACTTATTATGATTACAACACAATATACGTGTGCGATTCTTGGAATCGTCAAGTAAAAAGGTTTGGGAATAAATAAATAAACATTCAATGATTTCAATGTTCACAAAGATTGAAATATTTGGCAAAATACTTTTTAATTAATAACATGTACCGAAAATACATGAAGTGCGACCAGCTGAAGTCTATAGGTAATGTTAATGGAAATGCTTCTCATGAGCTGCGGGCAAATTATTTTTTCAACACTTTGAAACTGCGTATTTTGCCTACGAAACGAACAATATATTTGACTTTACAATTAGCATTGTAATAATTGATACAAGTTTGCTCAAAGTAAGATATTAAGTTCTGAAAGTGAGAAGAATAGGTTTCAGACAATACTTACTATAATACGACATTGAGAACAAGTTGCCGAATTTCTCGCAAGTTCCGAGCTCGTCCGCACCACATTCCAAGTCTACCAGAAGCATTTCATGACCTACAGTGTCTGTGCCGTAAATGTCATACGACATCGTTTCCCCAACTCTGGCAATCTTCGTCTCAGTGTGAAGTTCTTCGACCTACGAGTAATAAATACTTTGTTACTATTTTTCAGTGTTGGCTCCTTAAACCCCGAATCACGAGTCTCGAAGTCAGGTAATCAGTATTCAGTATTTTATTTTTTCCCATCATGAAAATACTTTTGTACGAACTACAAAAAAACGTAAAAATGACAGGATGGCGTAAAAATTTCAGGATGAAGGAGGCTACCAAAACCAATACTGGTTCACGAGCAGCGACACCAGTCTATTAAGTTAACAGTAATTACGAGAAGGAAAAAGTCAAAGATTGTATCATTAAAAAAAAATTTCGGCCAAATGAAAAAACAACATACAAAAATACTCTGAGCACCGTGAGGTAACCATAGTACCGAGTCCTGGTTATTCCATTCAGATCACTCGAGTGTTTGATAAATGATGTCCCAGTGCTGTTTACCTTCCTTCATAACCACCAAAGTTTTAGTGACTCTGACCTTTCATGGGGCAAATGTAACTTTGTTCAGAGATGGGTGTTATTTAACTCTGAGCGAATGTGTATGTATGATAATGCTTTGAGATATATTGAAACAATAAAACACATAAATTACCGAAATGCTCGCTCCTCTGACGAGATAGACGTCTCTCAATGTGAGGTAGATTCTGCTCATTTCTTTTATTCCCATCGGTCGAACGATCCAGCAGGTGCTTGTCATCCCGACAACGTGTCCAACTTTGGGGAATTCAATCTCATCCATGCCAGATGTCAAGATACTGCAACCAACTGGGAAGGATTTAAAGGCTTTTAGATTTGATGAATAATTCAATGATATTTAAAAGGTTACCGGAAATCGAAACAGGTTCGAGTCACGTTTTGAAATACTGGCAACATTGCTAAAGCTGAGCCAACACAATTCTGATGTCAGAATAGCTAGAGATTTGCAGTTCAATATCGTTCTCGATCTTATTTTTTATTTATCTCTTGTGCTAGTGAGTGCACGTAATGAATGATGCTGCAGCAAGAGTGCAGTTCACTATTCTAAAAGATTGAAGTGTCTTGTCGCACACTCACAAAAATATATATTCTCAATACTAATTCTTTATCTATGCTTTTGTTTTGGTAGATCTGTATATGTATGATATAAAGAAATCATCATCAATTGAATGCGGGCGCGGTGGCCAGCTCATTAAATTATTGGATCCAACAATCTTGGCACCGCAGATTAAACGCATCAGGTTCAAACCGCCACATGCTGAACCGGAAAGATTCCGGTCGTTTCTGACGTATCAGTTACTTCTTGTACAGTCAAGATGCAATATGTCTTTAAACGTCAAGTCAAGTTTATTTTTTCCAACCAGTAAAGGACAAAAAATTTATAAGGAAAAATGATATTTACATTACTCGGGAAGGGAAGTCGCGGGGAACCAAAGCAGAGATGCCCAAGAATTTAACATCTAATTTTACCGATTGGGGAGGAGGCTTTCAGATGATATTTACCATATGAATTTTGCCAATCAGCCAACCAATATCAATTGTTAGAGGTTATTACTAGAAATTACCGAGTATTAAATGTGCAGCGAATAACCGAAAAATCCCCGTTTGCCCTTAATGTAGCCTAATTAATACAATTTCAATAACGATTGAAGCCACACATGCGAAACAAACCATCACAGAAAATGGGAGGTAATATGTCACGATTTTGAGCGCATATTAATTACATCAACCAAGTTCGTCGATATTTGAAATCGTCAAATTAATCCGCGATTTAGTTTTACAAAATGAGAAAAACTATTATTAGGAAATCCTCGCGAATTATTTTTAAGATAATGAACGTTAAAGTATGCCAAGAATGCGAAAAATACTGAAATAGCACCACTGATTATGTGTCCATCAAACATTGTTTCTAACTCGGCTGTCGGAACGGTGACATTTTGAGAGGCGTGTCACCGAAAGACTCGCTGTGTTAGTCACGGTCTGTTATGTGGAATAAGCTGAATTAACTCATGATTGGGCGAATATTTACCTAATGATGAAATATTTTGAAAACGTGAATTTTGAGAGATCACAATCTATCTACTCTACGTAAGAGCAATGTTCAGCAAATTGTGGATACAAACGCAACGGTACCTGTTGTACCAGATGTCACGTGACAGCGTTTCCGTGAATTTAAAATTAAACCACAAATCTTGAAAGCATTGACTTCCGTATATATTTCCGTCATCACGGCTAATCAGCAATAAAGATCAAAGGTGAAGTAAACATTATTGTGACTCACCGAAGAAACACATTGGCTTCCGTGTTTATTTCCGTAACGATAAATAATCAGCAATCGAGATCAAAGGTGAAGTAAACATTACTGCGCTATAGAAGCACTTTGACTCACAAATAACAAAAGCACATTGACTTCCGTGTTTATTTCCGTAACGATGGGTAATCAGCAATCGAGATCAAAGATTAATTACTCACCATAAAAGAAAGCTTTAAAGCTTCCAGTCTCATCTCTAGGAATATGGATGGTAACTGAGCTGACGTCCGAAACAATCATTTCAAATTTATTCCCAACGTCGGATCCGATCTCTCTCCAATAAGTCTTCTCTCCTGATCTCGTCGCGACAAAAATAGTTTTCTTTAGTTTGAAATCCTGAAAATATAAAATAAAAATAGGTAAATTATAAGGAAATGAACTGAATCATTACCGGGCATTTATCTATTTGCAACGCTGGTAAATTGTAGTAGCTTTGATCGTGAGTTTGAACTCGTGAGTTGAAAGGTAAATATGTAAAACACTTCCTATTACAAAATCTTTTTGGAAATGCTGTGATAGTTTTCTTTCGGGTGCCAGTATACCTTGCACTCGGAACAAGAACTCTACAAAAACCAGTTATGTTCTCATTCGCGAAGAATTTTATTGTAAGCCAGTCATGAGCGAGTTTTTTCCGAGAACAGTTTTGCCGCGTGATAATTTAACAACACAAAAAATCGTGTGTTTTTTTGTCTGACGTTAATCGACCTGTATCGTGGCGTATAAACCTATTCAATGAAAATCTCAGGTAATAAAACATTTAATATCAAAACCCCCTCAATTAATTTGCTCGTCTCGCCGCCATTTTTATGCAGAATTGTTTGACAATCGGTCTAAAACGTGCGTACTAGTGACGTCACTATTTAGAAGGTTACCGGAAGTAGAAACAGGGTCGAGTCACGTTTTGAAATACTGGCAACATTGCAAAAGCTGAGCCAGCACAATTCTGATGCCTGGATTGTTAAAAATTTGCAGTTCGCCGTTTCCGATATTGATGTTATGCCAATAAACGACCGCTTGCTCGAACAAGGTTATTTAGTGATACTTGAAAAGCTACAAGTTTTGAAAAGAATGGCATCACCTCCCCGATTTAATACACCACGATAAGGCTAGAGGACTTTCGTGTAATTAGCGATGCCCACTCAGTTAATATTGGGATTTTGAGGCTGTTTGAAAATACTTGATTTCAATCCAATTGTTCTCACAGTTTGGAAAGCATAAGCTGAATTCAGGACATGAATGATAATTTAAATTGTGACTGACAAATTCTATCGAACCCTTTCACTCAAAACCATCAATTTTTACAATTACACTTGTTGCGATATTATATATCATATCGAAGCTTCAAGCAATGCTTGACTGAAAAAATAAATAGAAATAAGAAGTCCGCTGACGCCGGGGTCATAAATACGTCATGTTAACAATTCTTTAATTGGGTTTGAATAAAATATATTGCGCGTTAATTACGGGTAATAACTTCATTAATCTAATTGAGACATGCTTTGCTGCCAGTTACAATGTAGGATTTACATATGGTATTACATAGGATAGGTCGATATTTACTTGACCTTTTAACAATTCTCGCTGGTGGTACTGTAGCGTGAGGATTATGACACTATAGCGTGAAATCTACTTGAAGCTAGTCATGTAGTCTCTACGGTACTCCTGAAGTATGTGAACCAAGATGGCGGACACCGGAACGTAGTATGTGAACCAGGTTAGGCCATAATTTAAGGTACAAATACTACGAGAGTCACTTGGCTAGTCCCTGAACCCGTAATAGAACTAAAATAAGAAAAAATGGAATAAAATTATGGCCCAATCCTACTCTGGTACACATACTACGTTCCGGTGTCCGCCATCTTGGTTCACATACTATACGGGAGCACCGTGGAGACTACAGTACTCATGGCGTGGATATGACACTGACCATAACGCGTAAACCTCGGACTGCACCTGTTTGGTCGACATACGGTAAACCTCGCGATGTAACGATGCTGTCCAACAGTTAACATGCTATGGCACAGCAGATACATCGTTGAATTTGACTATGTTAACATCACAGGTTGGAAATCTTGCCTTCAACCCCTTGTCCGTCATTTTACCCATTGTATAATGAAATAACTAATAAATAACTAAATTGTAAAATCAAATAAGCAATACAGGGTACGCGTCGAGGATATTTCGCTTCCAAAGCATTTCTTGTTTATAGCTGCAATGCTAATAAAGCGGAATCTAGAACTTTTATTATTAAAATTACAATAAAATTTGTTTATTGAAGAATTTTTCAATGCATATTTGCTCAAAGCACGTTCCCAATATCTTAAGTGAAATCAAATATATTGCCAAATGGAGGGTTAAAAGCAGGCTCTGTCGCGATAAGCGTTATATATAGGTTTGTCCTATTGATAGAGGTTGAATAAATGTCAGACGAGAAACATAGTTTGATTCAGTCAAAATAAATATTCAAAAATATCCCGAGTTATTTTAAACTTTACGTATTTGTCTCAACTTGAATGTCAGCAGACGAACGACATTTAAAAGTCAAAGTTACAACTGGCATGAAATTTAGAGAATTTGGTTCTTGGTGTAAGAATCAAGATACTATAAGATACGCGGTATAAACTATAACGAACAAAGCATGTGTCATGCGTTGACATTTTTATTCCATCCATTTCACCGAGGGTGCAAGAAATTATGTTGGCAATGCGGACAAAAAAAAATGATTCCCTTCATAATATAGTGTATATTAACATTAATGGGTGCTTGAACTGTCTTGTTTTTTCGGCTCCCATAGTATGCGAACCAAGATGGCGGACACCGGAACGTAGTATATGTACCAGGTTAGGGTTGGGCCATAATTTCAGGTACAAATACTACAGAAGTCACTTAGCTAGTCCCCGTAATATAACTACAATAAGGAAAATAGGAATAAAATTATGGCCTAACCCTAACCCAGTACACATACTACGTTCCGGTGTCCGCTATCTTAGTTCACATACTACCGGAGTAGCTTGTTTTGAATGAATGTATGGAAAAATGAAGGCCCACCTTGAAGGCGATCGTGACCGTCGTTTTGGCGTATCCAGCAGGTTTGATCGTCCATGATCGACCACTGAACCGGTAGAGATTGTAGTAGTCCAAGTAATTGTAGTTGAAATCAATCGACCCCCGAAGCTGTCTGCATGGAGATCTGTGGGTGCACGGCTCAAACTTGTCTGGAATAGAAAATATGCATTTACTGACAAAGGAGGGAAATTAGTTACAAACTAGTCTTGATTTTGAATCATGCAAAATAACCCGGGTCCGAGTTAAAGAAATTTCGACTTTTAATCAAACTTTTGACTCCGGTTTAACATAAAACTTGACTCCTACCCCAGCTTTAGACCTGGGTTTTACTAAATTTTGACTCATATTTTGTCTGTCACTCTTTTCAAATATTTGTACTTCATTATTTAAAAACTAGCTAACTATGCTCATAACCGACTAGAAACCGGACGAGAGATCATGGTTAGCATTATGTATAAGCCATTTTATCGGCTTCCACTCCCATATTCCATCCTATCATATTCCGAAACTTCCTTACTTTTTCGTTCGATCAACGTCCCATGCAAATGTCCAAATAAAAGTGAAACCTACCTGGGTTGATGGCGAGCACCGAAGCCAGTAATGTTGCAAGTATTGTAGATTGTAAGATGTTCATTTTGGTCAAGATTTTATTTATGTTTTATGAATCTAATTTTAATTTCTGCAAAAATAGAGAATAAATGATATTTTAGGGAGATTTGCTAAAAGTAAAGCTACGGCACTAGCTCAAGAATGAAGGAGACTCATCGCTGAGTAAAGTCACGGGCCGCCACTGAAAAGTCAAGATGGCGGGATCGAGATTTTTAAACATTGATGTATACATGGTTAAGTCTAACACTTAAACCGCAGGGCGATCTGAACTCTCATCGTAATTATACACTGGTCTATACTGAAATACCTTATCACTTGAATAAACTCAAAATATTCCAACTAACTGTTTGAGTTCAGACGAACGCACGTTGTTCAATACCTCACGGCTGACACAGCAACCCAAGTATTCCAAGTATGAAAAAACAACGTTATTTATATTTCTTATGGTCATGAATGCCAGATCATTTGGAAAGTCTTTAGTTACGCGACGCCTATTAAATATGTTTCTATTAATAACTTTACGCAAATAATCGACAAAACAAAATTGAAATTAAACTTTATTACTGCATTATTAGTAATCGGAAGTCCGAACGGCGCAAAAATGACGCAATGTTAATTTAGGTTGCATTCGTGACGAAGCGTAAAGCATTCCATGATTATTGTTATTCGTCTGAGTGGAATGTCGCACGCAACGATCATAATTAAACCTCGTTTTGTTTATAATATTCTATAGAACGTGTTTACACGCCTCCAACTCCGTACAATGATTCATTATCCGCCGATTCGTATGCAGCAGCTACCTTAATTTGGAAAGGACGAAATATTTCCGGCTCGGCATTCCCGACTCAACTTATTGCACATCTGAGGTGAGGTAATAAGCAGGGAAGTTTAACTTGCGATCCCGGCATAGTCAAGTCCTCACATTTGAATAATTTTATTTATCTCGGGGAAAGAAAATCTGAGAAAAAACCTTATTTGTGCGCCGATGCCTTCTGTCTGCTGTAAGAATTTGGATTTCACTCAGCTTATGCACATTTTGATTTGACAAAACATGAATTCTAATAATAAAACGTCTTGTATGTATTGTAAAACATATGACAGTGCATGACTTGTATATCTCTTCCTTCAACATTCTTCCGCGTACATCACAACCCTAAAGCACTTGCATTATCCAATTCAAATGCGTTTCATAAACCAATATCTATTCTTTTTCTAAGCGTGAATTTGCACTTTAACAGTCATATATGGCAAAGTGAGGCCGACACGCGTGACATTCTGTGGAAATCACCAAACAATAGAAAAAACATATTTGCATTTAATACGTAACTGCATGACGCGTCACGTCTAGACCGAAAATGCCGAAAAATGAAACAACTAAAAATTGAATATAAGGATTACGACGAAGTTCGTGACTGATTCTGTTTGTAATCAAAAACGACTATGAAAGTATGCGATACAATAAGTTGAATTTTAGCATTGCTCGAGGTTTTGTTTTTTCATTATACATGAAGCAGATTTACGGAATATTTTGCTAATTGGGTTGATTTTCGTTGTTGGGGAAATATCGAACTTCCTTTGTGAACGATTTGAGAATTAAAAGTGCTTGTATCCGCTATAGAGATTTTTTTATATTTCCCATCGACCGGTATTTCTCTTATTTATTTTTTTAAGGTTTGCAGGTTACTTTGTATATTTATTTGTCGCTATTTCAACCCATTATTGCGTGTCGTAAGCGGTTTATTAAAACCCTGATTTGCGTCCCAGTTCACAATAATATTATAGTTTGCGTCAGGCACACTGTCTACGGCACTCTACGCTACTTATTACACCCTTGGTGACCTGATATATTTCTAGCGCTGTTATCATTCGTCTGTCTTGGATTTTGACAAATAACGTCTAGACTCGAGACAAATCTATTAACTCGTCTCAAGGAATTCTTATCGGATGATTTCAATCTGAGACTGCAATTATCATAATTGAAATATTCCGCCTTAAAATAAACGTAGCTAATGGACTTGGCATGTTAACCCTTTGTCAGTTTTTCCTGGAATCTGTTTTGCTCTAACCTACAGGGTACTGCACCCGATTCGTAACTTAAACTGACCAAACATCAAAACTTAGTCGTTAAAATTCACATTACGCTATATTCTTCTGATTTTCTGTTTACTCGTTATTGATTTTTTAGAGTATCCATAGCAAACGAATAGGACACATCAGCGCTTACTTCGAAACGGCTTTTTTTCGAAATGAATATTCTTCAGTTTCGTCGAAGTAATTCAGAAATTTATTCGGCTGTTTTTGGTACCCTCTATGTTATCACAGAAGACTATTCGCAAAATGTTCTTCGATGTATCAATTTCGAGTTTTATGAACGTAATCTTATGTAATATTACTTATAAAGTGAACGCCTCTTTTACAGCGAAACTTGCGTGTGACCCTGACCTTCCTCTTACTAAATATCTGACATGAAAACATGACTTTTTGAACCAAACAGACATCTCTGCTTCGCACGAAATATCTGTAAAAACAAATACTAAAGACTAATGTCAAAAATATTTTCAATTTCGGTAAAAGTAAATATGAAAATAACTAAGTTTTAAAATAATATTATTCGTTTTGTTAACAAAATTTGTCAAATTATACTTACTAATTTATATAAGTAAGTTTGAAACTTTAACCGTATAAAGTAACAAGAAAAACTGTCGCGTTCGATAAATATGAGATACTTAACCGCAGGTGCGCTGATGTGGTTAGCAGAAATGCTCCGTAATTACTTTGGAGATCGCGCCCTTGATAAAACCACGGTATTATTTCCTTACAAGTTTATATTCACGAATTGTTTCACGACATTTTCTCGAAACAAGGGTTTTGATAAGCAATTGATATGTCGGGAAATCTGTACTTTCTCGGTCAACAATTCTTGGCATAAAATCATTTGTGGACGCGTCGTTAAAACGTAGAGTTGACTATGTCAGCATCGCATGATCTAGGGTTATGTTCACCACTTCAATCAGTGTGCGATAGATTGGGTATGCAATGTCGAACCGCAGATTGGTAACAGGTTTCAATTTCTACGTTTTCACTTTGCTTTACAAAAATAATTCAGACCATAGTGATTTCTTGTACTAACACACAAGTCTAAATTCTCATTTTTTATTATATTTCACCACCGATGAAATATAGTGTACGTCTTATAGACTCATCTCTCCATCTGTTTGAATCTGGCATTTCACTCACAACTGACATGTTTTGTTTGACGCACGTTGAAGCGCATTGTTATAATTCCGAGTGGCTACATTAATCTAAACATCAAAACAAACGTTCGTGAGAGCGGAATCATATCGATCATCGTTTATTAGTTTCAACGAAGCTGCAATCGAGACGCTTTAAATTATATTGCAACAATGCTACACCGATACACACTATTTCGAAATAACAATAAAGAAGTTGTTGTTCCCCGGAGTGAAAAAAAAAGCTCATGTTATTCAAATTCAATCGACCTAACTTGCTTTGCTTGGAGCCAGGAGCAGCATTTTGTCAGACAACACGGTCCAAGAATTGGCGCTTCTAGAAGATGAATCATATCTTGTATCGTGATTGGCTCATTAACATTAGATTTTATCTACACGAGCGAATTAACGAGGAGGCCGTGAATATCACACGGGGAGGGACGCTTGCACAGTACCGGACAACTGGCTGCTCAACTTGGGATAGAAAATATCATGTGATCAAAAACGTGCTCGACGACCCCATTTGTTGCACTTAGTCGATGAATCACATAGCGACGGGTCAGCATTAGATCTCATCTCCATGATAACGGCGATGTTCTGAATGCATTAAGATTTTGTATGACAGACACGATATTTCGAGTCGTTGCTTTGCGCGTCTCTACAGATTGTATCACGGTTTATATTTTTATCAGATGTCCCGGATTTACGGTACACACAAGCGACCAGAGATATGTTAGCAGTTACTATATTTTAGGAAGCTTGGTAATATTTCCTATTCTCACTCAATTTATTACCCTCTGGATGAGGGCATTCAATGTGAACACGAAATTGTCATTTCAAATTTACGTTATTTTCTCTTTAAATGCCAATGAAGTTCGTGACACGACTTACGATGTCAACATAATTAATTATGTTCCATTATGTTCCGAGCGCAAAAATCAGACCACCACGTTCACTATTTAATTAATGGTCATATAAATCTCGAATTACAGCTATATGCTATAAATTTTACGCTTTCTGTTAACAGCGAATGACATCATGCTAGAAGACTGAAACCGATCCAATTATGCACTTGAAGTGATTAATTTGCTTTCCGTGATAATCGCGGAGGAAATTACAAAGCTAATAATAACTGCGAGAGAAGATTAATTGTGATTATTTGTGATAAAACAGTTGTTGCGAATGGTTTTAATTGTCCACGCGTCTCTCTCCGAACGGGGTCCGAAATTGTATGATTTATTTTACGGTTATCAGTAAGAAATGAAATAAGTAATAACCAACGCGAAAGCTTGGATGCCTAATTGATGTCACATCAGACGGCGCTTCAGAAATATGTGTACCAATATGAATGCAACTAATTTTGTTCGCCTACTTTACACCAAGTTGTGTGAAGGGACTGAAACCTATGGGCAGTGGGCATATTCAATTGGCTAACACAAACAGTCTCCGAACTCGTGATAGAACTAAAATGAGAAAAATCGGAATAAAATTATGGTCTAACCCTAATCCGGTACACATACTACGGGAGTACCCATAAAACTGCAGTCAATCTTAAATCCCGTTTGATGGAGTTTCCTCAGCATCCTAATGCTGGAGATTGATGTAAGTTGCAACCCTCGGGGGTTTAGTGTCGAATTCATACAGAAATGCAAGGTTATATATCTGATTCTTACTACTTATATGAATCCAGCAATTACATAATAAGTAATCAACCCAACCAGTGATTAAGCAGTTGTAGCATCAGACCGATAATTATTCCATCGAAAGGTCTTCAAATTATCGCATCTCCAGATCAAATGAGACAAAAATAATCATGGTAAGGGCTTAAACAAATAGGAAA